TTTTAGCAGACAATCATTGTCGCGTACCAGGCGTGACATTTTTATCGAAATAGATAGTATAACGCGCTCGTAAATGGAACACAATCAAATTTTGCCTACCAAGAATTTGCTAAGCTAAGAAATTAATTAAATAAAACATGATACACTATATTAAACTGACTATAATTAGATATTAATTAATTAATAAAAAATATATGTTTTCTTAAGTCCACTATAAACAATTTATAATTTGAGATTAAATTCAGTATTAAATTCAACTTATAATTTTATATTTTACATATCCTAAATAAAAAAAATCTAATTAACATATAATATATTATACATTTTGTATATGTGTGGATTTTATTTCTTCAAATGTTTCTACGTTACATGTGATACGCAGAATTATAAATAAAATTTTATTTCAAATTTGGTTGCAAATTTTAAATCGTCTATAGTGAACTTTATTTATCAATAGTAGAAAGAATATCAAATATAATAAATATTAAAAATGCTTTTATTTTTGTCTGTTGAAAATTTTTCTTAGATTAATTACATAACTTTTATTTAGAATTTTTAAATACGAAAGTTTTCAGAATTTCTGTATAATTTATTATTACTTTTAGAAAATTTTTCAGATTATTGTTATACAAATTGGAATGATTTATAGAAGTGCTGAGACGGTCTTTCCTAGAATACTTCATATATGTGAATTTTGAAATATTCAAAGTTCAGACAATATGTATATGTCTCGCAAAATTGAGACAAATATTTTTTTTCTCAAAGCGTTTTATAAATATAAAAAATTCTTACAATTAGAAATATTATGAGACACGACAATTTTTTTACCAAGTTAACAAAAAATGAAACCACCAGAATTTAGATTAGATTTTTCACCAGAATTAGAAATTGTAATTCTAATTCTTCAAAAAAGGAAAGAAGGCTTATTTATATTTCATTAAATTTCAATAATTTCCGTTAGTTCTGTATATAATTTCAATACTTTTATCTCTTTTAGAAATTAGATTATAACTAAATTATTATTGATCTAACAATAAACCTCCCAGGTCAAGAATTGAGCAATAATGGTTGTTAAATATATCTATATATAAATTTATTATAATGATAGCATTAATATACGGTACGTTTCGACTTCACAGAGTCCTCATCAGCTCCGTAAAAAAACCCCTTAACAGATGAAACCAATTTCCTCTTAAGACATCCGAAATTACTACGACCACACTATATGTCCTAACTGTGCAAATGGTCACACGTTAGTGATAAAGATTCAATACATATCCAGTCAACCAGACCCCCCCTCCACCCCACCCACATGTTTACATTTCTATCCATCGTCAGAAACACGTTTAAGCAAATGAACATATATGTCATCGAGAGATTCAGTATCCTTTTTCAAATTAATACTGTTTAACTGTTCTTTTATATGTAATGTCTCTGATATTAATCTCTTATTATAATTAGATTCGAAGTCCATAATTTTCGTATTCTTCCAGTCAAAGACATGATTGCACTCTAATGCATGGTTTGTTAAAACTGAATGTCTAGATGCATCAAGTTTTCTATTATTTTATATGTTCATTTACTCTAGTATTTAATTTCCTCTTTGTCTGTCCTACATAAGTCACATTACAGTTCTCACATGGAATCTTATATACAACATTATTACTATTACCTTTTTCTTTTTTATCTTTAAGTACTTTAATAAATCTATCCAACTTATTCAAACACCTGTAACCGATACTATAGACTGATTCATTGAACATATGAGTAATTGAATATGTTACACTATTTATAAATGGAAATACGATAAACTTTTTCTTATTTAAATCTTTATTACTTTCTTCCGACTTATCACTGAATGTGGAAGTAATTTTTTTAGTTTGTATCAAATTTTTAATTTGTATACTAAATTGTTTGAAAATTAATTCCAGCGGATATCCATTATTTAAAAGGATTGAAATACATTTTTCTAAATTTTTCTTATGAAATTTAGGATGTGATAGTAATATTGCTCTGTCCACCAGGCCATAAATTGCGCCTATTTTGTGACAAAGAGGATGGTTAGAAAAATAAGATAAATATCTCCCAGAAAAAGTTTTCTTATGAAACCAATCAATTGTTATACTACCATCTTCCACAATCAGTAACAAATCCCAAAAACTTATACAATGATTATGCTCATATTCTATTGTGATCCGTAATCGTTCATGAATGCTATTAAAAGTATCAAAAATACCCATGATTTTGTCCTCCGGGGATGCCAAAATTATATCATCCACATAACGAAAATAAAATAACACATTGAAACTTAGTAAATTTAAAGCTTTTTCTTCCAAGTTTTGTAACACTAAATCAGCTACAATCGGAGACAACGGTGAGCACATAGGTGTCCCATAGGTCTGTTCTTATCTTTTTTGTTCTTATCTTATTTGTCTTATCTTCGACGTTTTTTAAATTTAACAATTCAGTATACAAACAGACCTATGGGACACCTATGGGCTCACCGTTGTCTCCGATTGTAGCTGATTTAGTGTTACAAGACTTGGAAGAAAAAGCTTTAAATTTACTAAGTTTCAATGTGTTATTTTATTTTCGTTATGTGGATGATATAATTTTGGCAGCCCCGGAGGACAAAATCATGGGTATTTTTGATACTTTTAATAGCATTCATGAACGATTACAGTTCACAATAGTATATGAGCATAATCATTGTATAAGTTTTGAGGATTTGTTACTGATTGTGGAAGATGGTAGTATAACAATTGATTGGTTTCATAAGAAAACTTTTTCTGAGGGGTATTTATCTTATTTGTCTAACCATCCTCTTTGTCACAAAATAGGCGCAATTTATGACCTGGTGGACAGAGCGATATTACTATCACATTCTAAATTTCATAAGAAAAATTTAGAAAAATGTATTTCAATCCTTTTAAATAATGGATATCCGCTGGAATTAATTTTCAAACAATTTAGTATACGAATTAAAAATTTGATACAAACTAAAAAAATTACTTCCACATTCAGTGATAAGTCGGAAGAAAGTAATAAAGATTTAAATAAGAAAAAGTTCATCGTATTTCCATTTATAAATAGTGTAACATATTCAATTACTCATATGTTCAATGAATCAGTCTATAGTATTGGTTACAGGTGTTTGAATAAGTTGGATAGATTTATTAAAGTACTTAAAGATAAAAAAGAAAAAGGTAATAGTAATAATGTTGTATATAAGATTCCATGTGAAAACTGTAATGTGACTTATGTAGGACAGACAAAGAGGAAATTAAATACTAGAGTAAATGAATATATAAATAATAGAAAACTTGATGCATCTAGATATTCAGTTTTAACAAACCATGCATTAGAGTGCAATCATGTCTTTGACTGGAAGAATACGAAAATTATGGACTTCGAATCTAATTATAATAAGAGATTAATATCAGAGACATTACATATAAAAGAACAGTTAAACAGTATTAATTTGAAAAAGGATACTGAATCTCTCGATGACATATATGTTCATTTGCTTAAACGTGTTTCTGACGATGGATAGAAATGTAAACATGTGGGTGGGGTGGAGGGGGGGTCTGGTTGACTGGATATGTATTGAATCTTTGTCACTAACGTGTGACCATTTGCACAGTTAGGACATATAGTGTGGTCGTAGTAATTTCGGATGTCTTTAAGAGGAAATTGGTTTCATCTGTTAAGAGGTTTTTTTTACGGCTGATGAGGACTCTGTGAAGTCGAAACGTACCGTATATTAATGTTATCATTATTATAAATTTATAGATATATTTAACAACCATATTATTGCTCAATTTATTCTTGACTTGGGAGGTTTATTGTTAATTTTAATTTGTTAATTTATTTGAGCTGTTTATAATTCAATTTCAATTATTATTGATCTATATAATATACTGGGGAAAAAAAAAAAAATACAATTAATTATTTATTTTAATTATTATAAAATAGTACTTTTAATACACCAACTCGAAATGAATGATTAATTCGTTAGTATTAGTATTAAATTTTAATAAAGGATGTATTTCAGTACATGTCTTTTACATCCTATGGATCACACATGAAAAATCTGATAGCGGATATATATCTATAGATCCAAGGATAAATATCTAGAGACTCTAAAATAAATAAAATTTTATTCTTTTAATTACAGATTCTATATTATCATGATAACCTCATAATTTAAAAAAGATTAAATTATGTATTAACATTGAAAATACATAAACGGATTTACAATCAATTATATTATATAGTTTTACCAAAAAAGGACGCGCGACTTGAATGTGTCCGACAACATAGAAATTATTAAAAAAATCTATTTTTCTATTTTAATCGGTACCGTTCAATTCATTAGGATCTCCTCTATTAAAAATATTTATTATGAACCTCCTTACGAGTTACGAGGTGCCCAAGTACTGCTGTTGGCATTTTGTCGAAAAAGGACATGCGACTCTCTTACGTCTGACAAGGGGTACGGTCAACGCGACGCTACAAATGCTTTGAAGCATTTTCTAATTGGCCAATTTGTAAAATTCTTTTTTTTTTATTGGTCTATTAAACGCTTCAAATTATTTGTAGCGAGACTTTGACCACAGCCAAGAGATAAATATCATTTAAAAAATTGGTAAAAATCCGTTCTTCTATTTCAATCGATACCACTCGATTTATTACGATCTCCTCTATTAAAAATAATTGTTTCGAACCACCTTACGAGAGGTGTTACAGTATTGCTGTACAATTGCACTGGAGTTATATTAATTTTTCCAATGAAAAATGCTACATGAAGAGAAGATCAGCTGTTCAGTGGTCAGTCAGCAGAGAGCAGAACGATCTTTACCTAGCTTTACTTGACGTTTGGCGGGAAGAATACCACTTAAAACTTAGAACTACTTACGCTGTTTTTGATGTCATGTTGTCTTGAGATGTATGTACCTTCGGATTAAATATTAAATGATACTTTACTGAAAACTGTCAACATGCTTGAAGACTATCTTTTGAAGCATCATGTGAAAGACTTGGAGGGCATTTTAAATGCTGCAGAAAATCATTTATGCTATTCAATATACGTAAAGTAAGTTATTTTACAAGCATTTGCTAGGTTAGTACAAATATATCTTATTTTTCACGTAATTTTTTAAATGTATCAATAACAAATTTAAGTAATTCTGTAGTAACATTCTTATTGTATTTTACATTTCAGTTTTGTGTCATTATTTGAAGCTGATGCGGAGAATGCACAAAAAATCTTACGCAATCCTAGACATTACTTACCCCTATGTAACGAGGCAGCAATAAAAGCTCAAGAACAATTATATAAACCTGACAATGAACAAATAGTAAAAACGAGAGTATGTGTGTTTATTTTATTAGTTACTACATGTAAATTACGAATTACTTTTGGAGTAATCATTTTTATTGTTACATGTTAATATCCAGGTGTATATTCGAATTACTGCAGTGCCTATAAAAATGGACGTAGGTAAAATTGGTGAGCTAGTTTCGACATCTGGAATTGTAGTACGTATGTCTCAGCCTACAGTTATGAAAATGCAAAAACGTTTTATCTGTAGAAAATGCGAACACATCAATCTAGCTAAAGTAGGTAAACTTTGTTTAACAAAAGAATACAATATAAAATAACAGCAAATTATAGTTTAAAGTCTATATATACATAACAATCTTAATCTTAATTTTGTCCTTATAGTTAGAATGGGAAAAGCAATCATTTAGGAATATCAAACAATGTCAATCGTGTCGTTCTCAAAAATTGACTGCTTCAACATCTTTAGACCAAGAAGATTGTTCTGATTATCAAGAAATAAAGATTCGGGTATAAAAAAATTTTATCAGATTTTTATAATTAAATATTATTATTTACTTGAAAAATATTATATATACAGGACCAATGTAAAACAGATACAAGAAGTTACTATTCGGTGGGTCTAGAAGTAGTATTATTAGATGATCTTGTTGACAAGTGTAAACCTGGAGATAACATAGATATCAGGTCTATAAATAATTTTTTATTAATATATATCTATAATTATGTTAAACATAAGGCAAATATCAATGTATAGTTATTAAAATCATAAAACTTGATTTAGCAATTGGCTTTAATTATAAATATAAAAATATTTGTAGTGGAATAATTATACGAAAATGGGGTAAATTAAAGGTTGGCCAACGCGCAGAAGCTACAACATTTCTGATGGCAAATAGTATTTCTATACGCAGGAAAATGTCAGAAGCAACATTCTCTACAACACAAATAAAAGATACATTTACAGCGTATTGGGAACATTATGAAGATAATGTATTATCTGGCAGAGATAATATTCTCGCCTCTATTTGTCCACAAGTACATTTAATGTTCCTAAATATATTACCTAGAATAATATACACATTTGATATTTTATATAATTAATTATATCATTAATATAAAAAACATTTTAATAAATGTAACACATTTCTTCTTTAATGATATACAGTTATATGGGATGTATATCGCAAAATTAGCGTTAGCTGTTGTTATGTGTGGTGGTGTGGCAAAAACTAATGAAACGGGAACGCGTATAAGAGGTGAGCCCCATCTTCTTCTAGTTGGAGATCCTGGCACCGGTAAATCGCAATTGCTTCGAGTTGCTTCTCGACTGACTACACGATCTGTCTTTACAACAGGTGTTGGAAGTACTGCCGCTGGACTAACAGCAGCAGCTATCAGAGTTAGTATCGACATGTGAAATGCTTTATTCTCATTCACTTTTTTTTAGTTAAGAGGCCATTTATTAAGAGAAATTTATTGCGAGAGATTCATTACAGGATTCGGACGGTTGGCATTTAGAAGCGGGGGCTTTAGTGCTCGCAGATGGAGGTGTGTGTTGCGTGGATGAGTTTACGACAATGAGTTCGCATGATAGAACTTCTGTACACGAAGCAATGGAACAGCAAACAATCTCCATTGCCAAAGCTGGCATGGTGAGCACATTGAATAGTCGCTGCTCTGTCATTGCAGCCATTAATCCGGATGGCGGATGTTTTACGGGCGATGAATGGAAGACCTGCTTAGGAAATCCTCTTTTGTCGCGCTTTGATTTGATTCTTCTTTTGAAAGATACTAGAAATCCTGAATGGGATAAATTGGCGTCGAGTCACATTTTGAAAGCTGCCTGTGAAGACGAAGAAAATAATTCGTAATAATATTCGCATTTGCTTTTTACACAATCAATATTATTCATAATAATAAAACATAAAATATTATAGATATTCTGAAACATTTATGGGTCCTTTGAATTTAACGAGCTTATGGTCAGAAGAGACTCTCTGCGAATATTTCACACATGTACGTACGTTAAAACCAATGCTAACCAAAGAGGCACAGAAGATACTCAGTGCAACTTATCTTCATCATAGATCAGACCCTCAAAGAAGGCCTGAGAGAACAACAGTGCGGCTCTTAGATAGTCTTATCAGGTAAAACAAAAAAAATAATCATTTAAATTAGTCATCACTAATGTTCAGTGACAAGAGTTCTTATTTTCAAATGTTGTTTGTCTAGACTTAATTTCAATTATCAACAATATATAACAATAACATTATTGGACGTAATTTCTTTCTTGCAGATTAGCTGAGGGCCACGCTAAACTCATGTACCGAACTAAAGTAGAAGTCATTGATGCAATCATTGCAGCAGAATTGATTGGAACCACATTAGTAAATTCTGATGCTGGTTGTCAATTTCCAATAGATCCAATAGTAACATATCATTTAAAAGGTATATTTATATTCATAACAATTCATAAAATAGATAAAGATACTTTAGCATTGTTTATACGATACTAACGTCACAATGGTTTCTTACAGCAAAAGACTTACTCAAAAAGTTTAATTTACGAGAACTAGAATCATACATATAAATATAAACTTGCCAATATGTGTTTCACAATCGGAATTAAAAATCAGTATTTTTAAATTAATATTTTTATAATAAATACCTATTGAGCTTAATAATCGTTATAAAACTTATCAGATTTGATCTTGGTTTCACATAGAAAATATTTGATATTCATGGTTATTTTTGTAGATTATTTTAAAAAATTTTGTTATATTTATGTATGTTTATTATCATTATAATATGTGAAGATATACAAATAAATCATATTTCAGTTTCAACAAATAACATTTTTTAACACTTTGAAAAAATTATAAAATTATTTTACAAATTTATACAATTTTCAGTAAAATCCAATTTGTTTTATCATTGACATATTCTTCGTTTTAATAAAAACAAGAATTGTTTGAGAAACAACAGTCATAATAAAATGATTTAACATATTGCATAAGAACAGGAATGTATAGGGTTTAACAAGGTTACAAGAAAATTATTGAATAAATGTAAGTGAATATTTATAAGTAAATTAGCATTTATGTTAACATTCAACAAATATGATCAAATTATGTTCTAAAATTCAAATCTTGTAGTTATTTAAACTTTGAATAAATTTAATTATTTTCTCATAACTTATAATATGATCACAATGTCAAGAGACTGTGCCACTAAAATATGAAAGCTAGTAAATATAAAAAATGTACATTGAGATAAGGCTCAATATGTTTTTAAAACAAATAATACAGAGAAAGAGGGCAATGAGCCAATAATATCGTTAAAATCTTTTTAAATTATAATCTAATATTTTGCGAAGAATATCTAGTAAATATAAGCAATTATATATAATTAAATCATGATGATATGATTGATATGATTATCAAGAGCTCACTCACATCATATAACCTAATTTGAAGATTTCATAAATAAACATACATGATAAACGGCAATACAAATTAATACATCAAACTTACATATAAAAATGTTATATGTATAGTATAATTTTCTTTCAACAAAAATATACTTAGAAACAAAATACATACTAGTTTCGAAAAATTTCTTTAGAATATCCGTTAATACTTTGAAATAGCATGCAGTAGTATTAACTGCAGTATTAACAATGTTAATCAACGTACACATCAGAGAATAAATTTTATCGTGAAGTACAATTTTCAAATATATTGCAGAATTTCATTGTAAGAATAAAATTTGCAATATTTCTATGATCGTTTTGTATAATCCATAAGTAGTGGAACTAATGAGATCTATCCACTTACTGAATGATGTAAAGCCAGAACATAGTGTTTTTTGTAGGACAAATAAATGATACAATTAATAGCGTGGTTGGCTAGCATTAGCCATTTGCGAGCGAACTGCACTTGCCGCAACATTGCTCGCAGCATTTTGCACGTGCTCGTTTCGCAAAAATGTTGTAGCAAATTCTTGCTGCGCTTTCGTAACACTCGCATCAGAGGTACGATAAATGCGATGGATCTAAAAAATAGTCTCATTTTTATTTCATTGAGATCAATACTAGTTAATCTTCATTCTTTCATTTTTATGTGTATATACTATACCTTAGTAAGTAGCAAAAGATCACCACCTGCTGCAAGAAGAAAACAAATAGCGACGAAGAGCATAATAAGACCGACAAAAATACCTTTGGCCGTTGCATCAAACATACTAATTGCTGTAATTATGCCACTGAAAAACAAAAATATTTGTATTTGTATCAATGTATAAATGCATATTGTACATAAAAAATTAAGTATAATACAAATATATTACCAAGTTCCAGCACCAGGAATGCCTATAGCCTGGATGCCAGTGACGATTAATTGAAAGAAGAAGACAAAAAAAAAGACCATAAAATTGAAAGAACTGTCGTTTCTGAAATATTAAAACAAGGTTTATTTCTAATTCCTGTACTTTATCAGATTTCTGTAATGATAAATGAATTTACTTGAAAGCCCTGTATGCTGGTCTAAACCAGCACATGAAAGAAAATGGAGTGAAAAGTATGAGATACAAGATAGCCAGACCGAAGGCTGAGAAACCCTGTCCACAGAGCATCAGGACAAATCCTCCAATTACATTCAACAGCAGAACAAAACCGTGAACTATAAACAATATTAACTGTTATCCATATACAAATAAACATTAAACATCACGTCATTGTTTAATAAATACAAAATAGTGTTCGAGAAGCGCACTGTCGACTGTTGTGTCATTCTACCTTTGTTGTTTAATAGATGTAAAAAGATAAAATGACGCGAGAGCGCGATTTCTTCCCCAATATTGCATATAATTAAACTTACACATCCAGAGGTAATACAATTGTCTCACTGTTTTTTGAAAATCGGTATGAATTTCCACATCAATATCTTGATAGAAGCATGGTTGGAAACAACACTTGTCTGGTAATGGTGGCCAATTATTTCGTCTTGCTAAAAGATCCAGAAATAAATATATGTAAAACAGTTTTATTTAATATTAAAAATTGCAAAGCAAAGTATTATATTAGCAATATTAAATGTACGCAGTAATTATATTAGTAATATTAAATGCAGTAATATATACTAACGATAGTACGGAGTATTTCTCATTTCTTCTTCCGCTCTGGCTTTCCATTCTGATTCTGCTCGTTGCTAAAACATTTAAATAATTTGTATTATTTGATCTTTGGTTTATCATCTTTCAATTGTATTTCACTTTATCTCTGTCTTCTTTTTTTCTCCATATTGGAGAAAAAATAAAATAAAAATAAAGATATGAAAATAAAAAAAGATGAATGATTGAAAAGATTAGCAAAAAAGAACACAGACTTAAAGATATTTTATGTATTCCACAAGTACACGCAATACATGGAAATAAGTATATAAATTTACATCTGATGGAGGTGACATGCTTCCAAGTGCAGCATTGACTGTTTGCTGGGGAGTACGAACATATGCAGGAGGAGGTGCTTCTTGATTGGTAGGTTGAAGTGTAGCAGGTTGCTGCGTCGCACCAATTCCTCCATAGATTGGTGGATTTACTGCTCCTCTGACTTGTGTAGTTCCTTGAGTACCTTGTTCAGCAAAAGGATTATAATCTTCAAGGCCTCTACTAGCGGGTGTAGAAGTTACTGCTCTTCGTATCGCTGGATCCTAATATGTATTAAAACATATACATTGACATATCTTCTTTAATCTTTTAATATAATCTCTTATCTTATCTTCCTTCTTTATTCTTATAAGTATATACTTGTGTCATTGGATATAAAAAAATATATTTGAATAAATTATTATTAAAAAAAAATACATGTTATTCAAATCATATTTTAAAACAAAGTTATAAACTTGAACTAAAAGAAAAATAATATTAGAACAATACACTTTATCACAATGATACAAAATTGCATACAAAATACAGTAATATTGCATGGAAGCATACATATAAACATAAAAATTTTACAAAATTAGATTTATAATTATTGACCTCTCTTTTTCTCGTTCTCGATAAGAATAAGGAAAAATTGCAGGGAAATTATGCCGACATTAGAATGACACATACACTAATTTTTAGCCGAGCATTTACATAAGTTACGACGTAAAATCGTTCGGTAAATCTTCATTAACTTTTCACAAGAGCGAATATCAACGAGACAGACTGATTTACGCCTCGGAGAATTTTGACAGATGAGAGCAATATTGGAGTCAGTTCTGCGTGTTTCGCTTTCGTCACTGTCACATACATGAGGTAAATGCTATACTCACCGAGAAGGGATCGTTAATCGTAGGCTCCCCGAAGGGATTCTCGTCAAAGCCGGACATCTCTCGTCCTCGTTCTTGCACCGATGTTATGCAGTCGAAACGCTCGCACGGTTTTGATAATACTCAATTAATCTTATCTAAATCTGCCTAAACCTGACGAGCCATAATTCCGCCTTTACTGGCATTTACGTACGGTGACGCCGTGACAGTAGCCATTTATTTCGATCTACGTCCGTCACTATAGTTCCACAGTCTATGCGAACTGAATACTAGAGACTAGAGACTCTATTGGCGATGCAAAGATTTCTCTGTGGCGCTTATAGTGGCGGCCGGTAGAAGCTTCGCTAGTCAGACACATTGGGTGCTTTTCAGCTACGAAACACTGTGTGACACAGTGTCGACTTGTAGCTGAAACGCTATTTAGTCACTTTACACTAGTGTTTCTAATAGGAAAAGTATTCTGGTATATTTACTAATTCAAAAGAATATTTTGTCACCTTATTTGTTTCGTACACACTCATGCAATGTCGGAATATCATTCCTAGATAAATAAATAGTACAAAATGTAAAAATCTTGGTTATGTTGGGCTGCGTTCCGTTTCACGCATATGCGCGTATTTCCCTATAGTATACGTGACGCTCGCTATATAAAATGCGCGCATATGCCTGAAACGGAACGCAGCCTTGTGTACTCTACTTGTGTCGTAGCTGGAAAGTACCCTAAGAAGCACGACCGCTCATTGAGCGCTCAGTGAACTCTTGTACCTGTTTGGTTAATATTTTTAGATCTAATGGAATATGCCAATCAGATAAAAAAGCTCATTGAGCGCTTAGTGAGCGGTCGTGCTTCTGGATGCACCTATTAGAGACCCTCTAATCAGAGTCGCGAAATAACGTTTCCAATTTTGATTGGTGCTGACATTTTTCAGCGAAAACCGGAAATAGTCATGGCGTCAAATTTAAGTCGACCTACATTCGCTGCCCATTTTGCTCTTTTTTCAGGATTATGAGGAAAGACTTTCATAATATAACTTTATTTTGCAGAATTGTTGCAGTCTGGTGCAGAACAACGCAGTCATTTTAGAAAATATAATTTTATGAAATACAGTATTAATATAAAAAATATAATAATGTAATTTCTTTCTGATAACTGTATTTAGATTCACACGTATTAGGTATTATATATCACAATCATAGTCTTTTCATTGCAACTGCGATGATGCTCGTACGTGCAGTAGTATTATATTTGATAGCTATTTCCGGTTTTTGCTGAAAA